ATTTTAGTTCTCAGCCTGTACCATTACACTTTATGACATTTGTCAAGCTGCCTTCTGCAGCTCCAAGAACAGTTAAATAGCATTTATGTAATTCTGTGCTAAAAGGCATGCATTACCAACTTCCTGTGATCAGCAGGAAGAAAATAAGAAGCAAGTTAAGCAAGTTCTGTGAAACAATGACTAACTCTAAACTACTATAATGCTTCAAGTTATCTTTAAAATAAAAAGTGACTACTGCCATAACATTCCTGACAACTACCCTAAAGCAGCCATTATTTCTGTTTTACTATGTAGGGAATATTGAAATGAGAACATCTATCTTAAAATTCATTAAGAATTAAGTCTCTTCTACACACTGAATTCTAATTCACAAAAAAAAAAAATTAGAAGATTTGATAGTTTATAATCCAATTTCTTAATATATGATACTACAAAACAAAATATCCAATTACTTTGTAGCTAATATGCCCAGAACATTTATCATCAAGTAAAACCAGATGAGAGATCATTATTTTATTTGAGAATTTAATGTAGTAACCACTAAATTAAATTTCAGAGCTTCAGAAATCAGTGCAAATCTGAGGCAGTAAAACCACAAAGTTGAACACCATGTGTAGAGTTTCAGACTGGGTCTGGAATAAGGACTCCAATATTCCTTTTAGACAGAAACTGGTTCCCATAGTGCAAAATGTAACTGAGCAGGAGAAATGGTACAGTTTGCTACAGTTTTTTAAAATCCTGAACATCGGTTTAAAGACAGAGAGTGTTTTCCATTCAAGACACTTTTTGTTTTGTTTTATGGAGAAAAATGCAAAATGGAAAATTTCTATTGTACATCTGGTCTACTGTGAAGGATTCTTACCTCACAAGTTAATTTTCTTCAGAATGAGCTCTGATAATACAAAATAGAAATATTTTCAGATTTTAACTCTATTCTTGTAAGCTCAGAGTCTATTCTAATAGTGTATTTCAGCAATGCTATAATGGATATACTTTTGTGATATTTCTATATTCCTCATTATTTAGGCTTAATCTGGTAAACAATGACACTTCAGAAGTGAAGCATTAGTAAACATAGGAAATCATGTTCTAAGAAATACTCTATTGATTAATAATTAATTATAACAGCCTTGTTAATTGTAATTGACTTCCTCAGATTCTGTGATGCATGTCACAGAATTGCATATCAATTAAATTAGAGTTATAAATATATCCTGAAAGGGGCAGTGTCTCTTGACAGTAATATTTTACTGCAACATAGCTTTATGCATCATTTTATATCCTGGGCATACTGCCAATATTGCATTACCTAAATATCCATTTTATATAGTAACTCTGCATCCTCACAGCAACTTATGAAATCAGTCTAATTGTTTAATTTTAGGTTCCAAATCAACATTCCTTCCAAAGCATTAATCTAGTGGTGAATCTATGCAATTACCAATTTTGTAAAACATCTTACGCCTGTATCTGGTAATTTAAACTACTGTTAAATAAGTGTGGTGTTTTTTGATTTGTTCTTTTTTTTTTTTTTTTTTTTTAAGCAAATATTTATATAAGTGCTTAGAAAATGAAGCAATGGCAAAATGACACTGTGTATCTCAATTTCTCCTTCCCTCATGCCATACTTATTTGCTTATAAGACACTATCACCTTCCCTTTACTAAGGATGGTTAAGATATTATTTAACATTATCATTTTCATTTTCCAAAGCATTTATCTGGGTTGAAATTCTGCTATATATCCAAAAGTTGTTCTCAACACATGTTAAGAATAGAGCAATTGATGGACATTTGATTATAACAGTTCTGTAGTTTTGACTTCCTTAAAAACATATACCAACTAAACAAAAAAAAACTAAACCAGTTTTGTCATCTGATAGTACTACCTTCACACAGTTGAGAAAAAACAAAACACAGTCTAAAAGAGCAAGGAAGAGGTAAACTGACCTCAGACAATTTTTTTTAATATGAAAGTAGCAAAAGCAGTTTTATGGTGATTTGGTCAGGTAAAGTTTAGAAGTATCTTCCTTTTGATTAACCTTAGTCTTGTTGTAGCATGAATCCTCGATAGAATAAAATAATAATCCGAATAAGTAAATATATTAAAATGCTTATGAAAATCCTGGTAACACCTTTAGATATTAAGGAAATTAGATGATCTACTTAAAAGCCCTAAATTTCTATCTAGGAATGCAACTATCTGTTATTTTTCCCCTTCTTTTTTGATGTCAAAAAGCCATTAAATGTTCTCTGATATTTTACATTTTCATTCTGAGTAGCTATCTTTCAGGATAGATATGCCAAACAATTTTTTGCTTTGCTTTTCAGAATTCTTTCAGTATTCAAAGTGGAAAGATGTTAATACGAAGGATTCTGTTTTGGCAAGAACCCACAAAACCTGTGTCAGCAACTCCTGTATATTTGTAGATTCAGTTCCTCTTGTATATTTATAAGGCAGTTGACTAAGTGCCTGAGATACTCTGATTCCTATGACTATCTCCTAACGGACTGCAAAGGTCTGTGTCTAATGTTGTTTAGAAAATTTATGGTGATAAGAGAATTTGTACCACTCTGTCAGTCCATGAATAATCATTTTACATGTGTTCTCCTTTGTAATTACTGCACATTATAACAGAGTTTGTGAAACAGGAACTGCCCTGACTTTTGGGATAGACCAGCCACTACATGTAATGTTATCTCTCCCCATGATACCACCTTTTTTCCAGTTTCTTGCATTTCCTTCAGACCCTTTCCAGTTGACATGTTGTTAGGTTCTTTTTTCATATTTGTGTTATCATGTAATATCATATTACTAATTTATCATGTCTGTTTCAAATAGTTACATTCCCTCAAATACGCAATGAAAGCCACAGAATGAACTGCTCCTAGTAACTGTGACTTACAAACAGAAAACAGTTGACAATAATAATTTAAAACTACATATTATAATATTGCAGACATTTAAGATAAAATAATGTGCAACTGGTTGTTTTTCTGTATAAAGTGATTTGCAAACTGCTCTACAGAACACAAAGTTCATATGACAGTATGGAAATCATGCAAGAAAATATACTTTCAGTTCTGAAATTATGTTGAATATGTGGCACATAAATCTATAAGTGAAACATAATTTTTTATTTTTAAAGAGTATCCACTTCAACACTATCAACTTCTGACTACTTTGGTGAGATTTGTATGTTACTCAACATCTTCCTCTTTGTACTTTTCCCTGGAGATATGACTTCTGTCATTACTAGGCTAGAAGGGCAATAGATCCAATTGAATTTGGTGATTTCTTAACAAACTCCAAGTGTTAAATTCTGTTTTAACTGAATTAAAAAACAACTTTTATCTCAACTTTTCAGGAAATTTATTTTGCTTTGGAACTTTAAACAGAGGTTGCGTTGATGATTAAAAATAAATGATGTGACAACAGGTCTGACTCTGGTAATATAACTAACAACTACCATTATTTAACATGTGCAACTAGCATCTTATCCCATATGACCCATTATGCTTTCTTCAGAAGTCAGGTGATTCAACATATTTTCATCACTCTTCCAAAAATTAACTAAAACCAGTTGATTCATCTACCAAATTATGAAATAATGTTCAGGGTTTTTGCAGACAAACATAATAATTTTCTCATCCTAGTAAACTAGCTACTGTTTTTCTCTCTGGATTTTAAATCCTTTTCTTTGACTTCGTGATCCTGATAATTTCTCTAAGACTTTGTGCACAGATTAAACATCTTCTGATAAACAATCACATGACTTGACTTTCTCTGAAGCTGGGAAAAAAGACCTACCACCTTTCCCAAAAATACTAACATCAGGTGCCATAGGAAAGGGAAACTTAAATTTCCAGAAGACAGAAGAAAAGTATCTGATCTTCAGACTATCAAATGCTGACAGCTTGCAGCAACAGAGATGAATCACTGCCTATGCTTCACCCCTGAGGTGAACCTTCTCAGACTTGATGCAAAAACAGTAATCTCCCAAGATTTTGCTCAGAGAGAGAAACACCAAGTAGGAGCCCCAAATGCACAAAAGTACAAAGAAGCTTACTACAAGTCCTGCTTTTTCACTTATCTCTTTCTATGAGGAAATTTACCATGATTAGAAAATAAATACACCTTCGAAAACTTCCATACCAAATGTGGGAAGGAAACAGGCTTCTTCTCAGTAAGAAGTGCCCTGAAGATGCTAAGGCTTGAGCATGACATACTTTGAAGCTACTACTCTGTGTCATGAGAATGAAGCAGTCCACTCCCAAATGGTAGGACCATGAGTAAAATTTAAGAATGCTTCTATAAATGGCAATATACACATACAAAGCATGAACAGTGTGGTCTGATCTCTGAAAGGCTATTGATTATTTCAGGACATCCAAATCAGTAGAGTGAAATTCTCCACTAGCTGACAGTCATGAGAACCTAGTGCTTTTTCATGGTGGCTACAAGAACTGGCCAGTCATTCATCCAATGATTTATACTGTCTCCACAGTTTTTAGTCCAAAATATTCCCTCTATTATTAGTATGAACAAATTCACATTACTAGGCTGTGGCCATGGTACTGCAATTTAAGTAAACAGTAATGCCATTAAGCTTGCCTGTTTTTTCAAGCATATAAAAGCATGTAAACTGATATATAACTAATGATTATCAGTGTGAGCATGGGAGCCTTACGAACCTTTGAAAAAATAATACAGTCAAATTAAACTGAACTCAATGAAACTGAGTAATTAAGAGCACTATTTTACTTAAAACATCTGATATCAAATGGTCCCTGTCTTGCATTTTTTCATTCTGTCTAGACTGTTCTTATGTGAATGCTATTGTGATACTGACATTAAGAAACTTTCTTGGACTATGAAAAACAACATAAGAACATAACATAGAAGAATATGACTTTATACCCATATCAGTCCTAAAAGGAAAACATTTTCATGTTTCCCAAGTACTTTATGTAATAAGGTTTTTTTTTTTATGTACTTACATGATAAAGTGGAACTGTATTGTTTTCTGCTAGCGAGAAATTCAAGATATCTTGCTGTCCAGGTTCAAGCCTGACATTAACAGTAGATGTCAATACAGATGGACTAATAGGGTAGTTTGGACTGCTTGTGTTTTTGCCCTTTTTTCTTGACCTATGGCCTGTGTCTCTTTTATTGTCTTTTTGTGTCAAAGGCTCTTCTTGGATAACCAGTATCTTGTCATCACTCAGATACCGCAGGAGTGAATTCTCAGAGTCAGTTGTTGGAGGGAAAAAAAGGAAAAAAACATTAGTAAGAGGAAACCATTCTGGCTGCATCTATGTTGTCAGCTTGGTTAATTCCCCACTTTGTCTGAGGCTCTTTCCTCTGCAAACAAACTTATTTGTACTAAGGTTTCAGTCAAGAGCAATCTAAGTAGTTGGCACAAAACCTAGGCACAAAAAAGATGGTGTTGCATAACCAGGTCCTTGCATGACAGATAGTATGAAGCTAGCCCACATCTTAAGCCTTGTGTTACAAAGAAAATATAAATACAGCCAAAAGGTTTCAGTGAAATGTCAGAGATTGCTACTATTAAACTGGAGTCCTGTGAATTTCAGGTGAATTGTGAGGGCTTGGACTGGACTCAGTACCATATGTACTGACATCCCCTGCCACTTGAGGTGAAAGTGAGTATACACATAAAATATTTGTAAATTGTATCAAGCATGGACCATCTCTGGGACAATTTCAGACACAAGGATTGTAATTTCAAGAAGCCTGACAAACTGGAATAATGGTTTTAAGGAGATGTGCAGTATACTTGGGCACAACCTCAAAATGGGAACTGGCCAGGTAACAAGTCTGAGGAAAGGCATCTGTCTGTAACACTGAAATACAAACTAAATATAAGTCAACAGATCTGGAATAAAACAGAAAAGACTTGTGTCTTAAATGAAATTTATTTTCTCTAGGAATGGAAGATTACTGAAAAAGGTAGTTTAAAATCCTGTGTTAATTTTCAAGAGTATCATTCAATTTTGTCACATTATGAGTAGTCAAGTTGAATGCCTCTCAGCTACCCACACTGTGCCTAAAAGATTATGGAAAAATAGTATTTTTTAAAGAATCTTTAACAATTGGCATAACAATAAACATATCTTCATATTTTAATAATATTCTTTTGAATGATATAATTGCTTTTTAGCAGAGGAAAAATGGAATTGTTGCTATCACCATGCTTGTTCTAAAGTTCATAATACCCACTGGAATCAATAGAAATTTATATGATTAGGGCTGCTGGTCTGAACACTGACAGTACAATTGCTGATTCTGGTTTCAGATATTGATTCATACTAATCAAAATGTGTCTCAAAGGATACTACCTTACATCTATAACATCATTTATTGTTTTCTAGAACTGTAAAGATTAATAACTGATTGTTATTAACATATATCTGAATCTTTTAAGTATTTTTTCTCTTGATGTTTAGCTTTCTTTATACTAGAATGAAATGGAGTAAATGCCTCCTACTAACATAAACTTTTTAATTTTCAGAAATAGAAACACAAAAACCCGGACACTAAACAGGCTTTTTTATATTCTCTGTGACACTCAAGAAAAATAGATTTAGTTCCTGTGATGATATATTCATGCTTCTTAAGTAATAAAGAAAAAAATTGTTACAGAACAGCAGACAAAAAAAATAAATACTCACCTCTGCTTCCTCTCTTGTACATGTTTTGTTCTTTTGACTCTCCTATCCAACTGTACTCAGTAGGCATCGAAACAGGCCTTAAATCTCCTGGAAACAATTCAAGATAAATCAATATAATTTTTGAAGACTAAAAATAACAATGACTATAATACACAGGCATGACATGGCCCTTCAGGGCAATCCTTTTTATCAGCACCTATACACTATTAAAGCTGCAGCATTCAGGATCAATTAAACACCATATATACAGGATTCTCCACTTTATTATACCAATCAGAAGGAAAGTAACACTGACTTTGGTGAAATTACTTGTAAATGTAAAATATATTACAAATTTAATTTTAAACTCTGTTTTATAAAAGCTTGCTCACTCATTAAATAGGTGTTTTGGAATAAGGAGAGAAGCAGTTTTTAAATGGACTAATATGTTTTAGTAAAACTAAAAAGACTGTTAATACAGATACAACATTACATATCTATCAGTTAAATGGTAAAACTTATCTGACCTGGAAAATCACATGGTGACTAATAGGAGATCTCATTTCAAGGAACGTTAATTTCAAATGCCTTAGAAAACATGGAGTGCAGTTTGGTAACAAAAAAAGAAGATTCAGACATTAGGGTTTTAATTAATATGATTTTATGGCACTATGGCTGTCAGATACTAATGCATTAGTCATTCCCTACCGTGGTATCAGTAGACCATTGACAGCAGGCCATTAAACGAGGAATACTACAAAACTGACTATAAATCATTAGCACTTTGGCCTTGTCAAGGTGCATTATTATCACAAAACACAGAAACACACCCTCAAGATTATGGGTTAAGTTTTGTCTGACCCATAAAGCCAAAGATTCATTTTTCTGTATGCCAGTTGACTAAATTTAGTGTGTTTCCTTAGCACTGAAGCAATTTTTTATAAAGTAGTTTGCTGCTGTTCTGTCTCAAGAATAATTATGGAATTTAAATTGGCATAAGAGTTTCTTTTTCATTATCAATTTCCTCAGGTTGATTAGAGAGACAAAGTATTTTCTGTGGATTATTTGCATGCTAATATAGATTTTATTTATCGTTCTTTCGAAATACAGGTTTTTAGCTACTAAAATGTAAGGACTATTTAAGAACAAACAGGTATACAAGACAAGTATGCTTCTGGATAACATGATTTTCTGAAAATCAAAGGGGAAACAGACACCTAGAGTACTGACATTTTTCCACATTATACTTTTGCTCATACCATAAAAGATAGTGTACAACCAATTGTATGGAGGAGATAAGTATTTTCCCGGTCTGCCATACAGTTGAAACTACCTTTAACTGCAAATGTATTATTCAACTTCTAATCTCAAAGAAAACCAATAAATCAATCAAAAGGAATAATCAGTAATATGGAAAAGAATGAGAAACAAGTAAAGATTATAAATTAAAAAAAAAAAAAAAAGAAAATAAGAATACACATAACAAATGAAGATCAGCATAATAAAATGTAGCAGCATTTCTGTAAAAAGAAGAAAGGTCTGGAGCTCTGAAGAGATTTGTAACACAAATTCCAGATGCTGCAGCACGATGAACAGTTAGGAAATTTAGGACAGGAAACACAAGCCAAAGGAATTAGTGATTTTGCATACTGCTTATTTTACTTCCAAGTTCTTTCCCAAACAAATGTAACCTATAAATTCTTTTAACATTGCAACTTGGATACTTTTCTGAGGAGTAAAAAAAAATATTGTGTAAAAGTATACCAGTATAAATTGAAAGAAAAAAAAATTATGTTTTTGACTCTAACACATAAACAAAAGATATATGATAAGCATTTCCACAAGAACTCTAAATATGATAGCATGTTAGAGTCAGACTAATATAAGTGTAATTCTCCATTAAAAAAAAAAAAAGGCACTACAGCAATGACATTTTTCACAAATGGTTTAAGAAAATGGGCTTATTTGCCTTCTTGGATTTTGCATATATTATCAATAATGAGGGTCTCAAGGCCTGAGTATCCTTCCACCTATCAGCTGCAACAGAGACTGATTTCTAGTAATCTCTTTAATTCTGGTAAATCCATGGCAGGAATTTCTCAGATGAGGTTTGTGTGAGTCCTAGCAATAATGAAAGCGTCTGCTCAACCATGAAAGACTGCAGAAGTCTTTAATTTTTTCCTTACTTTGCCCAAGGCTATCTGGTTCCAGCATCAGATACAAGTTTATTTGATCTACCATAAATCTTGTCTTTCCACTGAAAGACATATTGTCACTTTGATGGTTCAAACACACATCTTTAAGTCAAAAAGTATAAAATGTTCTACTACAGTAAAACAAAATTTGGATATGGGAGTCTGTTAATTGACAGATTAATTTAATCTGTAGTTAAAAAAATTCTGATTTAACAATTGTTTTTGAAACAAAGGCGTATTCCTGAGACTTCAAAATCAAATTCCTTCTAGATTTTCAAAGTTGCAGAAAATCAGAACTGTCCATCACAAACACAAGAAAAATCTTGCATATTACTGGGATTAGGCACTGAGCCCAACATTTTAAGTCATCATGCAACATGAATTTATGAAAGCAAGCCAAATACATCCATCTGGCTCCAATTTTAATCACAGTTAAGATTTATTTTTAATTCTAATTTTATTATAAAAATGATGTCACTTATCATGGAGATAAAAATGAATATTACTAGTCTTGAAATGGAATCGTAATCTTCAGTGTTACAATTCTTTCAAGCATCAATTATATGGCCATAAAAGTTACTAAAGATATCCTATGTATAACAAAGATTTCTCTATTCTGAAAAAGGCAGTGTGTATATATAAGTGGTCTTGTCCATTTTAAAATTGATATTTTGTCATTTTTTACCATAAATCCAGCTGTAGTTAGCAAAAACCAAACCCCAAAAAGTTCTGTTTAATTGATAAGCATAAGATAAGATTGCTTTCAAACTACTAGAATGACAAAACCAGTACAACATTGGGAAAGTTGCATGTCCTTTTTTGAGAAAGTCTAGCTACAGTGAATTATCACTCTCTAGCTGCAGTGAACTATCACTGCAGTTTGACATAATCTAAAGTATCCTTGCAGCTGACATTTTCAGACTTGAATTCTACTCTCTCAGCTCTCAAAACAGCAGGTGAAATTACTTAACTGTCACTCATTAGCTGATCTTAGCTAAAAGTAATGCAGTTAAAACCTTAACCCAGGTAAATTATGTAAATTACGCCATAGATATCTCATATATAATAAGAAAGCCTCAACAAACATTCACTGTCAGAGGAAAACTCTTGTGCATTTTAGGTATCAAATCTGTTTTGGCACCTGGGGCCATCAGTTGCCTTCTAACATTTATGGTGGTAAGAACACACCAGTCTGAGAAGAGGGAAGAGAAAGCCACATTGTCTCTAAGCACTAACAACAGAAAGAAGCATGGGAAATGACATTTAATAATCAAATCCTGCACCAGACTAACCAGTTCTATGGCAGACCAACAGAGTCAGTGCCTGGAGTGCTTAAATATTTTTCTTTCCCCCCCTCCCCCCCAACTGTTTTCCATTTCAGCTGTTACTGGATCTTCCACTATAGCTGCTTTTATTACTCGTGTTCTTCTGTCTTAGTTTGGGCTGAAATAGAGTTAATATTCCTTTTCAGGGACTAGATGAGTGCTGTGTTTTGGATTTAGCTTTGGGTTTGGTAGAGAAGAATGCTGATAGCACACTGATGTTTTCAGCTGCTGCCGAGACTTCCAGGACTCTCCGACTCCCCGTGTCCTGCCCGTGCGCCAGGGCACAGGGAGCAGGGAGGGAGCACGGCCACAGCACCTGACCCGAACTGGCCAGTGAAATATTCCATATCATGGCACGTCATGCTCACTATAGAGAGGAGGGGTGGTGGGGAGCTCTCTCTCTCTCATTCTCTCTCTCTCTCTCTCTCTCTCTCTCTCTCTCTTTCTCTCTCTTTCTCTCTCTTTCTCTCTTTCTCTCTCTCTTTCTCTCTTTCTCTCTTTCTCTCTCTTTCTCTTTCTCTCTTTCTCTTTCTCTCTTTCTCTTTTTCTCTCTCTTTCTCTCTTTCTCTCTCTTTCTCTCTCTTTCTCTCTCTCTTTCTCTTTCTCTCTCTCTCTCTCTCTCTCTCTCTCTCTCTCTCTCTCTCTCTCTCTCTTTCTCTTTCTCTTTCTCTTTTTCTTTCTCTTTCTCTTTCTCTTTCTCTCTTTCTCTCTCGCTCTCTCTCTCTTTCTCTCTCTCGCTTCCGGGATTGCGATTGTGGGATCTTGGTATCTCGGGGTCGCTAGCCGGGAACAGGCTGGGGATTGGTCAGTGGGCGGTGAGCAATTACGCTGTGCATTGCCTGTTTATATATTTCTTTTTGTTTTCCCCCCATCATCATTATTGTTCTCGTTGTATTGCCATTATTAAACTGTTCCTATCTCAGCCTGCGAGTCTCCCTTCACCCCTCTAATCCCCTCCCCCATTCCCGGGTGGGGAGGGGGAAGGGAGGATGATTAGCTGCTGCATTGTGGTTGGCTACCAATCAGGCCTAAACCACGACATCTTCACAGACACATTTTTCTTTACTATTCTGAGCCTGTGAGAGGTCTTCCCTTTCCTAGATATCAAAGAAAAAAAAAATTTAGGAACTTTTTTAACAAAATGAGAGAAAGGGAAAAACCTTAGTCTTAGAGTAGGTGAATGAAGTATTTATTGATGGCATCACATATATATATATATATATATATGCTATGATGAGAAGGAGGAGTCATTGCTTCATCTGATGCTCAGAAAAAATGCCATTTTCAAAATCAGATATAATTACAGTTTCTAAAATAAATCCTTCATCTTAAGTCTGTAAACTTTACAAAAGTACCTTACTGCCTTGAAAGTAAAACCACTGAAAATATATGGGAAATATAGCACTGTATTTCAGTAGTACTCTTCTAAAATTCACCAAGCACCAAGCAAATCAGTTTTAACAGATAAGTAAAAATTTTTCATCAATTAATTTTCAGCAATACCTTTTATATAGATACATATGCTCATATACAAGCACATATATGTTGGTATATCTGTATGCTCATATGTATTTACATACACACAAAATTTCTATATAAACCCAGAGATAATTGCTGTTTTAATAGCATCTTATATATTTAAGCAGTACCCATTCCAAGATTTTTAAATATATTTCTAGTATTAACAAGCGCATTGTAGGATACTACTCACGTAATGATATCCATTAAATACATCACTGAATTTTGGAGGGCTTTACATCTTATAGATACTTTCATACCACAGGTAAGTCTTTTCGGGCCCCCTACTGAAGTTTAACAGCCCAGAACATTGCAACTGGAATATTCTCTGAGAGTTTGTGAATGAAATTGAGTAAATCAGGATGTTAGCTATCCTGACAATGTGAACTTAAGTATCATTCAAAATTTTAGAGTATGCACTGCAGAACAAATCTAACTTACTCCTGATCATGAATGTTACTTCCTAATTATACTGATTATTCCTTCACATAAACTTTTGTCTAGTATTCAGAGCCAACAGGTCACGGTCTAACAAAGAATGACAGATATTTGGGAGTGTTTTGGGGTTAATAGCACAACTGGTAAATTCAGTCAATTTAAAAATGTTAAAGAAACCAAGCTTACCATGAGTCGGTGTTTTTTCTCTTCTCCGCACTCCTGGAGCTCTGCTTCGCTCATACTCAGAGCCCACAGGGTGGCCTTCACCTTCAATTAAGGTGTAGTATTTCCCACTTTCATGCTCCAGAAAATAGCTTGGAGACTCAGAGCCTTTCATTCCAGACTTTCCAAATTTGCTGATGTCATCACAAGACATTATTCCAATTTCATCCCTAAAAACAATAAACCAGAAGATTATGGAGAAATTAACAATTTTATGATAAAGCTAAAGCATACAGCTGTCTCTCCCAAACATTACAAATCAAAAGTCCTGTAATTGAAATGCTATATATGTGAACTTTTATGAAAGTGATTCAATTCAACACATGTAAATTAATGACTTCATCATTAGGTTCCATTTTAACTGTTAGTTATTCAAGAGTTTTCTAGTATCTGAAGGGGAGCATAAGGATTTGATATAACATGAGAAGGCAAGTGTTTCCCTTGCAGAAATGCATGCTTTATAATAAGATACAAGTGGTCACATAAATGTAAATAAATCTAAATGATTAAAGACTTCTTTAAATGCTTTCTTGGTTTAGTACTAAAAGCAGGTTTGGCCAAACTTGTATCTAGTTAAATGAAAGTTAAGTCTCTCAAAATAAGGATATGCTGCTTAATGTATTTCTATCTCTTAATTTTACTAAATATTTAACATTATTGCTTTTGGTTTGGTTGGTTTTTATTAATCTAGTGAAATTAAAGTGTAAAATTTTATTTTTCAAACCCTCAAATTCATTAGGACGTAAATACCTGGGGCCATAAAGTCCTGACATAGGAGACAGAATGAAAACATCCTGGAGTGCAGAGTTCTCCATTTTTGAGGGTATGCCCATTGTACTTGTTGGTGTTGTTGAACTGCTTGTTGGACTGGTTGGAATTACAGGCTGTAGAAAAAAAGAAAAAGCACATGAAGAATAAATTAATGTTTTCTGTGTACAGGTAACAGTGAAGTCAATGTGCATAATTTTAAGAATCTTGACCCCTTTTTTTTTGGATTAGCCTTTTTTTGAATTACTGAAGTTTCAAAAAAAAAAAAAAATGTCTACTGAAACACTCTTTTACCAAAGAGTTCAAGACTAGTTATGAAAGAAACTGATAAAAGACCAGTGAAACTAATTTAAAAGCTATCTCAGGGGAAAATCTGAGACTCAGAATCAAAATATGATTTTTAATCAATGCAGATAATCAATTATATGGGGAGGAAGGACATACACAAATAAATGCCATTAATACATATATTAATTACAGAACTCTGGAATACTTACACTTAATGAAAGTGTTTAGAACTGTAATGTTGGTTTCAGTAGATCTATTGTTAAGAAAGACAGAATACCTAGGCTTTTTTTAAGAAAACAGAATTCATAGACATATAAAATTTCTTATTTTTTTACTGAATCCATAGCTATGATGATTCTACCATGGTGATACAAATATATGTTCTATAGTGACTAGCAATGAAATATAAATTAACCTAAGCAATAAATGTGAGCATCATAAATATTAAAGTTACTAATAAAATATGGATGTCTTTGGGGATTTTTGCCTTTTTTTTAGTTTTTAAATTAAGTTAAACACAATTTATTTCCTCAAATGCCATAGGGAAGCTCAAGTCAATAGCTATAAGGACAACAACCAAATATTCTGTGCAGGATACAAAGTTACATACACAAAGAATATTTTTCAACCGAGGTACAGTCTGTGTTTATATTCAAGAAATAGAAAATATTTTTATTTAGTATTGCTGTTTAGATTTTTTATATGAAAAATTCCCATTCAAATAGAAAATTGTGCTTAAACAGATACAATTACTTTTCTGCAGGTGGAAGGAAAACACAGTGACCAAAAAATTGGATGAAAGCTATGAAGACAATTTATAGAATTTTTCTAGATACAAGGCTTTCTATCTTCTAGAGATAAACACTGAAATTACGTGATTTGAAAAGTAAAAGCAATCCTAAATACCAAAACAGGATGTGTTTTCATGAGAGTATCAGTCTGCATAGGAGTCCAAAGTATACTACTCTGTTATGCTTATTGTTAAATCTGTTATACTCCGATCAAATGTTTTAGGTTTCTTTGGTATTATCAATATAGGTAAGAAGTGACTGCCAAAACCAGGAATTATTCACTATTTACTTTCTCATATCTTTGGAAATTAGGGCCTACCACCTTCTACACAGTATCAACCAATACATTTAGAATACTACCATTATTTCTGCAGTTCTGGTGTGGCAGTACTAGTAAAGAGATGAAGTATTGGATATTCTAGTAATCCTCCAACTTACCTGCAGCTAGATACAGTTGCCCATGGGTGAAAACATAAATTACCACCATCACAGAAAGACAAGTAGAAGCTCCATTTCAGAATCAGAAAAGAATTTACCAAGTATTTAAAGAATAATTGCTTTACAATGGTTGTATACTCAGCAGTCATCAAGGTTACAGGTTAGTCAATGAAGTTTACAATAGAAAAAAATGGTAGGGACAGATAATATGACAGTTCAGTTTGCCCCCAAAGAGGGTGATACCCATGCTATTCCTGATAGATTTTTATAAATCTAATCTTATAGCAGTGTAATCTTTTTTGCTTCAATTTAATTAATTTCTTGTCCTACCCATCCCAGAAAGTGAGAACTTTCCTTTTCACCTTTATTTAACTTTTTATTTACTTTTGCACACAAAATGCTGTTTTCCCTTATTTTGGCTCGGGAACGGGAAAAAAATACTAATTCTTCCATTATAGGGCTTGGTTTCTAAAACATGAATGAACTGTAGTATGCTCTGTTCTTTCTCCAACTGATTAGACTATGTGTACCCAGTGTATACTATGTTTAGTCAGTACCCAGCTGAGATTGTGCTAATACTGAATAAAACACAATAATTATTTCACTTATCTTGTGTTTTATATTCCTATTTATGTCTCTCAGTCAGGTATCTGAGTTCCTTCCAACATGACATTCAGCTTTTTCTTTACTGAAACTTCCACATTATTTGGAATTATTGCCATATTATTCAATTGCTATATTCTTTAAAACTGCAGTGGATTATTTCCAAGTAGAATACTTTACACTTGCTCCTCTTTCATTTCATTACATTATTAGAGCTCTAGTCTAGTTCTCCCAATTAGAATTTCCAAATTTTTTACTACCAACACAGACTTCATTGCATTTGCAGGCCCTCCTGGTTTAGCACTCTATGCAAATTTAGTAAGCAGATCCTTCAGGCTGTCAGGAAAACATGGAACAAAACCACACATACCACCCACCTGTTGAATACTAAATAATACAACCTTTGTTAGTGAACCATTAACAGCTATTTGTTAGGCAAGGTTATCCAGTAGTTTTCCACCCATTCAATCTCAACTTCACCTAGCCCTTAATTCTCTATGCCATACTAATGAGAATGGCATAAGAAAAGGTATTAATATCAGAGTAAGATATACAGCTTCTCTCCTATCTACCAGGCCAGTTAACTGCTCACATAAGAGCATTAAATCTGTTTAATGATTTCTTCATAATAAATTAATGTTGTTTTTAGACATCTGTTATCTTCCAAGTGCTTTCAAACTGCAAACTGGTTGTGCATATTAAGTGACTGACATAATTCCCTGGCTCTTGCATTTCCCCTTTCTGAAGACAAGCATTATACTTCTTGTTTTTCTAACTAACTGTAATTTATCCACCCCTCAATAAATACATTTGAAAAATAATGGTCAAAGTGTGCCCCCCTCCCCCCAAAAAATCAGAAAAATAATACCAGCTCTTCTTGCCTTTTGGATTGGCATACTATAAGACCTCATCCACAGAGTTTACAGAAATGTGTGCTTTTGAAATTAATTTTCCCTATATAAAGGTTGTAAGTCTTTAAGAATATATACTGTTTCATGATTGCTCTCAGATAAGGTGTCTCCTGCCTTCTCCCTCTCAGATTTATTTATATTCTCCACCTTCTCTACAAAAAATACCTGTCTTCACAGTGCTTTCCAAGAATTTTCCGGCCATTATGTCTTTGGAACAATGCCTGTTTCTAACCCTTCTTCAAAGGATGCCCCCAATCCAAATAAAATGTATTGGGTAATTCTGCTAGTTGCTCACAAGAAACTTTCACTCATCTGTCCTGGGAGTCTTCAATGCAGAGAAGAGAGTACCTGCTTTCTCCTCCTCCTCTGTCATTATTCAGATCATTCCAGCACATAAAATTCTTCTATGATCTGAAGGTATACATCTTTGCTACCTTCACTCTGAGCTCCAGATACGGCTGTGATATCAGACATTTCAGTGGTTTTAGCTATCTGCAAAATACCACAGGGGTCTTCTAATAATATTAAAACACTAGTTTAATAGGAGTATTTAATATCATATTTCAATACTATACCAAATCATAAAAGGTAATTTTAATAAACAGTAAATATCATCCAAACCTGGACTATAAATTAAATAGACATAGTCAGGTCTTTAAGTCTTATATCTCAATTCCAATAAAATTACCTAAAGTGATTATGCTGATTCTGTGTGTGTACAAATGGATGTTTGACAAAGTGGGTGCAAATACACGTGCAGATTAAAATATTTCCAAGGAAAAGATGTTTATTTATAGAGGACTTCCGAAAAGTGAAACATTGGGTATCTGCTGCTGTTATTCAAAGTTTTGAATGAGAATAGCTAATTATCAGTAAAATGATTAAGCAATGCTGGAATACCAGAATAAAAATTAAAAACAAATGGTAAATTCAACACTCATCAGAAATGAACAATTATTTGACAAACAAAAAAAATCAAACTGTTTCAGAAACAAAATACCTTACTGTGATTCTGGATGAGTTTTGCAAATATTGGGGATAATATTGTATCTATTTTAAAAGTGCTGTTCAAAACAACAAACATTACCCCAGAGCAACCTGCAAAAAACAACAGTAGAAGATGCAGGAAGCTGGTAAAGCCCGGTGGTACAGCAACAAGAGGCTTGAACATGGACATCCCTTACCTTTTGAGGGGGTATGAAGATTAAGGATGGGGTACTGAGTCTCTGCTTTCTCCCTTGAAGGAATAAACTCAATCCCCAGAATTCCCCTGATGGGTGAATTCACAGAAAACACACAGGCGTCACTCTTCTACATGGATTGCCTGTGGTAAGGGAAAATGGGGCTTTGTAACTGCGTATCACCCTATAAATTCCTACAGTGTGTCATTTTTGTCAGAATAAATTAATTCATGCCAGTGATTCAGTTGACTAATTGGACAAGCTGCTATTCAGAAAAATTAAATGTTCAACAATACAAATACTACTCACAATAAGAAACAGAACTCTCCATACTGTCGAGTATTCTCACATACTGGTAACTTGGTATAGCTGTGCTGTAAAACAGCAGGCATGTTCACAGTTTTTTCAGGTCTTGTGGATTTTTACTTTTTTGAAACTTGAAATATTTACATTTTTTCTTGTGTAAATAATATTTTTTGTCCTCAGAGCAAGAGAATACAATGAAATACATACGAATATGACAGAAGTCAATAAAAGCATGAGTGGTATTAAGATGCAAAGGAAATGACTGTTCACCAGCTCCTCTGATACAAGACATTTAAGAGAACAGAACACAACTTTCTTGCCGCATTTTCTTTGTCTAAGATCTTACAAGTCTTTCCTTGCCCAAGGTATTTCTCACTGAAATAGTAAAGTAAATAAGCAGCACATAAATTCAGGGTTCATCTAAGGAATTCTATCAGGGTATAGTAACTGAACTACGAACCATGAACTAACTTGAGTGGTAGACAAGAAAGGGTATACACCAACTTGTTATTTCCCTTTTTTTGCTCTACAAGCATCTGTTCTCATAATGCTGAAGAATTTCTCTTTTGTACAAAGCAGCATCTCTCTAAATTCATATGGTTTTCAAAATCTGAAATAAGCTACTTAGCTGGAATTATTCTGAAGATACTTACAAAGCTGCAGAGCCTAACATGTATTTTCTAATACATAAGAATTATTATAAAATTCTCAGTGTTGACGTAAGCTTTACTACTCATATCACCTGACAGATTCTATAACTCAAGTTAAATAGTAAAAAGTTTATTGTTCTGGATCAAGTAATTGTAACAGGAAGGATTATCCCACTTAAAAAAAATCTGCAATAAAAAGAAAAAAAATATAGTAAATGTTGTATTTCATTTGAATTAAGTTTCTGGTGTGCTTACTTTTATCAAAAATAGAGCACTATTTGCAATTTCAGATGAAAGAACCATTTTATATTGAGTGGGAAGATAATCACAAAGCTTAAAAATTAAAATAGTCTTCTAATATCACATAATGCCAACTAGAGACAAAATGAGAAAATGGTATGACTGACATGTTGTCTGACTGAAAGATAATTGTAGCATAGAGTTTCGTCATATGTTGACATTCTGCTGTTGTTAATTAAGCATCAAGGGAAAATATATACAGCAAAGGAATAATACAATGAGACCAAAAAATAAATTTTATAAAATTCATAAATTCTGTATCATTAATAATTCATAAATTAGCTATGTGGCATAATTTTAAATGTAATTATTGTGGAAAAAATTATTAACAACACCTATAAGTGCCTTGAAAAATAACAGAAAACATGACAACTTTTATTTTATAAATTCCTGCTGTACACCAACCCGAATTAACAAATATTATTTCTGGCCCCTGAATTTCAAGTTCTTAAATTCTACTTCCTTTTTTCCTTCCTTAATTATGTATTACTTTTGTTTTGGTTTTACCAACACTAAATCAGAATGGAAGAATTGCTCTGCATGTGTTATATATCCATATATGTAACACACCATGACAAATAACACATGCAGAGCAATATATATGGAACCATGTATGTAACGCACAACGAAATATAACACATCCTTATATGTTACCCTCTTTTGTGACAGACCGACATTTGCTGAATTGTCTTCAGTTTTGTTCTACTTTAACTGAGATCTTTTTCTACGGATTGTTGCTGAACTGGTCATTCTGCATCCTACATTCATGCAGCTGGTTACTTTTGTCTGAGTATAAAACCTTCTGTCTCTGCTGAATAAATTCTGCTTATTTCTGAAAGTCTGTCAATAGCCTCTGACAGCATCTATTCTATAAGAGCCAATTTAATCCATTAGTGGTAGAAAACTCCAGAAAAACAAATAAATAAAACCAGAAGCCCTCCTACCAATTCAACAAATTAAACTGCTCTAGAGCATCTAAAAAATGCCAAAGTCAAACAAAGGCGTGGACATTCTGCAGCCAAGAACGGGGAGAGGGAAGTGAGATCACTGCTTTCTAGTCCAGCAGCATCAAGCTGTTATGTCAGCTGTCCAGGAAACACAAGCTTTAGTATCATCTTGAAATTTAATCATTCTAGTTCCAAGTAATTAATGACAATAATAAATAATACTAGATCCAGGTGAGAACTGTAGGAAACAGGCAAAACCAAAAACTGCATCTGGAAATGTATCCGGGTCCTAATACTTGAGTTTGCCTCTGTGGCATGAAGATTAAAGAAGACCTAAAGTTGGTTTTCAACATCTTATCACAAAATCTACTGCTAAGAAGTAATACTGGCAATGCTCTTTATATCTTCCAAAATGACTCATATTTTTATTTAAGTCCCTCACAGCACTATTCTCTCATATAGATGAAACTTATCCTAGTGAGGATGACACTTAAAGCACTGTTTGGTCCTCAGGGGCTCTTGCATTCTGGGTCATCAGGAGAGAACATATCACAAAAATAAAAACTGTTGATAATTCCACAAAAATAGCTTAGTGCACTTTCACTTATCTGGCTACCGTGACAAAGGTTAGCATGTTTTGTGGAAAATACTGTGCCGTGTATACAGTACATACTGTTCTCACACTGACAAAACTTTCAGAACTAGTGCTGCTTGTGAATTATGATTCTTTAATTTACTTATATAAAGAGAGAATCTCTAAAGAAGCCCTGTTGCTGCCCCTAGAGGCTTCAGATGAAGTTCACAAGTAGATACATAACCATCTCGCTAGAGTAAAGAATGTTATTCCTGCCTCCTTGTGACAGAAAAAAATCTGAAGAGATCCAAATCTGCTCTGGGTGTCATAACGCCCCTTTCCTCTCCCCCAGAGGCAGTCACAGCAAAATGAAATACGGCCATAAACCCAAGTGCCAGCACTCCTGAGCTGCAAGGATTACACAAACTCCTCAAGTGAAGCAGCCGTGTAGAATTTAGGGATTTTGAGGAATGAAAGATTCAGGAAGACCCAGGCAAGAAGGAAATTCGCCTTAATAAGCCTGAGGGATTTGCTTTGCTTCGTTAAATTAAAAGTAATTCAGAAACACATTTATGTATCATGTCATCCAGACAAAAATCTCTGTGAAGCTTCCACATTATGAAGGTGCATAAAATTATTACAGGATGTTATATAGTACTAAAGATAAACATGCACAATTACTAATTTACTCAAAACCCTTTCATTTAATAATGACATTTTGCGTTCAGTCTTTTTATGGTGAGTCAGTTTCTCCTACATATGTTGATGCTGTAGGAAGAACCAGCTGTGGTGTTCACAATTTCTTTTTTTTCATATCAATAGGTTTTCAAGGAATAAATATGCAGAAAATATCAGAGGTTCCATCAGCACTGATACAAAAAAACTTCAAACTTGATGAGAAATGTGGAACAGAAGCAGACTTTTCCCGAAATTCAAAAGGTCTGACACGCTTGATTACAAACAACTAGCTTTGACAGACTGTGAAATAATGGAAACAGGGAGGCAATGTTGACTCTGCCAGTCAAAGCAAGCTACTGAACCTTAGGCTGCCTTGTTCTTCAGTAACACCATCTGTAAATGTTCTTTCCTTTTATGAATTCCTGTGGCTCCCAACTTCACAAAAAAAAATGGAGGAAAACAATCTTATTGACACATATAGTATTGCCACACATATTTATGTTAGCATCCTATTTCAAAGGAATTTCGGACTTTTTAGAGGCTCCTGTTCCTTTCACTGGAAAGAGAAATTCTAGTGTTTTCTCTTGAATAAAGGATTTACCATGATAGCAGTGTTGCAACAGCCTTCTTACCTGAAGTGCAAGAGGCTTCCACCTCACATTCTTCAGAAGGGCAGGAGCAGAAACCAGGGTATTCTGAGGACGTTTTTTCAAGGTTAAAATCACTCCATTTGGGTCTTCCCGCAATGCATTTACTAGGTTCTTTAACTGCCAGCCAACCTATGGAAAAATCCCATAATTGAATTATGAAAGTTTTCCGTCTAAATGTGAAGGAAGTCTTCTATTAACCAAAAAGGTCTGTTACAGCCTACTCTTTGCAAACATAAGCAGTTTTTATAAACTGTGTCTGATTACTTCTATTGGACTGAAATGATGCTGCTGAAGCTGGATTTCTTTTTTTTTGCTATGTTTCTCAACAAAATAAGGGATAAGTGAACGCTGACTCCCTTTTAATAATTTTAAGATCACTGTACATTTTAAATCAAATGATGAGGACCAGAAGTCAAAAAATAATTTCAATCTGGATCCCAAGTTGAAATGGTCACTGCTGAGGAAGAAGTCAGACTATGTTATAGCAACATATGTAACAGCTTTAAGATCCTAACTGAAGATAAATGAGCTTTTACTTGATTTATCTATACAGCCCCTGGATAGAGCTGAGTAATTTAAGATATTATACATTGTAAACATAACCATAAAAAAGAACATTACCAGTACTGAAAGGATTTCATACATGCTGCTCACAAAAAAACTACTTAGAGACATTTCTTAATCTTCTTGATTATTGAAATATAAATTTACCATGAACTGTTTATTCATGAAAACAGAAAATGTATTTTTATGGGATTTTTTTTTTTAATGAATGTTTACACTATCCTATTATCCTGAATGACTGAAAAGGTTTAAAACCCAAATAATAATATAAATGACAGTATATAAAGATGTTTATGTTAAAAGTATTTTCTTGCACATTTAAGTGCTGCTGAATTTCTATCCATACTTCCACTCATAGGCCCATGAGGAAAAAAAACAACAAAAAAAAAGGCTATCAAAACAGTCAGATATGTAAATTCAGAAATGAAAGTGAAATTCATAAAAATACACATTTTTCTAAAACTCAACTAATCTTTCTTCCAAGTTACACCACTGAAATCAGAGGAATTGTACTAGTTTAAATAAGAGAATAAATTTGACTCCGTTCAGTAGTATTTTTGCCCTTCCTATATGCAACTGATGTATTAGCTTGTTCACTGTGAATAAAGCAAGAAATTCCTACCACTTAGCATTTCACAGTGAATTATCATTAAAGTTGGTTTGCCCTATTTCTTGAGTAACATTATTATTATTATTATAGAATTTTCTTCAGTATTACATTCTCAAAAAATGTACCCTATATAACACCCAAATTAGTACTGATAGACAGAAATATATTGCAATGCTTCTAGAATTTGCTAACATTCACTTCTAAAGCCTGTATTTTTTGTCAATATATACTTGTGACTTGATCTAGATAACCAGACTTATACCACAAATTTTGAAATTTGTCTCTCTTCCAGTAGTGCCAGAAAAATGGCATGACTAAAGAAGATTCAGTTACTCACACCTAACAGCTAAAAGCTATTGCCTGCATTTAGTCTCATCTTGATATTTGCAGGAAGTATACCAAGGATCTTGCTGAAGTAACTCAAATTTCAAGAAGAAGCCTACCTAGAAAGGAATTACTGGAAAGAGTAACCACTTGCAAGTGACAATTAGGTTACTGGTTCACATTCAGCTCTGGGAAAGAGCAAGGCATGCATAGGTATTTACAGGGAGGACTCTGGAGGATTTTCCTAGCCTTACTGATTTGTGTCTTCTCCTATTCACACGTGATTTCTAGATTTGCCACTCAAGGAAACTGAATAGGTGCAGGATAGACTCTCCACATATGCTTTTAAATACTGCATCCTTTTTAAAACGTTAAGTGAGTCAGGTTTTAATTTGAACACCAATGGCTAATTCCTACGCACAGTTCTGCTGGACAAAGCAGTATGGATCCAATCCCACACAGAACAGTTTTGCCAAAGTCAGTATCTTTCACAGAAACGATGAGCACCCAGAACTTCTGAAAGTGCCTGTATTAAACTGTTCCCTCAATTTTCTGTTCCAAACATGGCAGAATTTTACAGTAGTAATAAATGACCACAGTAAAGACCTGTCATAAATGTTGTAACTACCACAAGTCTTAAGCCCTAGTGTCAAGCAGAACTGTACTGAACAGGAATTAGAATGCTCTGTCTGTACAGCAGTTCTCCAGACACAATCTTACTGAGGCTAAATTGCAGCAGCCTTTAAGTGAACATTTAAGAATGAAAAGCTTAGGGAATACAAGAGCAATAACTGTATATGCAAGCATTAAGTGCCATTATAGTTGCTATGCTTTTTGACTATGTTTGACCTGTCAGAGTTCACTGTAACATTTTAATTATAATTGCCCTTCTGACCAAAGTGTGTATTCCCGCTGCTATTAAAATACAAGAATAAGAAAAAAAAAAAATTTAGGTGCTCAGAATCAGAGCAGTCTACATATACCACCATAGTATATCAGGTATATTTTAGCTTACCATATATAGGTTACTTCATTTTAGAGGATGATAATATCTGATTACACATGAAGGTAGAGGGAAAAAAATAAAGGCAACATTGAAGAGATTTAAATTAAAATCCTCTCATAAAGGCTGAAGAGAAATAAAGATATAAACAGCGGGCCAAAGCCAGGATCATGCTTGTGTGAACATTTGGCTTGGAAAGCACTGCAATATGTGTCGTAATTCTAAAAAGGATTTTAATAGCTTTTTAAAGTTCTATTCTATTTTCATTGTTGCTGTTCTATTGAAAACTTTCTAAAAATGCACTGGCCACAGGAAACCAGAAAATGGTAGTAATTATAAACAGGTCACAGCCAAACAAATGCAAATGCATCAACTTCCATTTCAAAAAAACTCTTCTAGTTTGTGCTTTGTTTATAAAATGACAAAGGCTATATATTTTTTTTTTACTCAATTATTAAATGAAAAATGAACTATTTTTGATTTTTATAGATTGATGTAATTTTCAGAATGCTAAAATCTTTAGAGTTCCATGGGCTCCTTTTAGAAAAGTATGATAAATAATTAAGTTAATGATAAATTATTCCAATGAGAACCTTAATGACAAAACCATTAAATACCAAGATCTATTAGAGAACAGTCTGCAGTCATTACTACTACACAATGATAAAATACTCTTAGGAATTTGGACATGTTATTATAAATTGTATTACTAAAAATATCTTTGAAAAGATAGAAGTCATTATAGTGGATTAAAAAATCTTAGTTGAAAACCAGTCCTTGAGACATATTTTGTCATTTAAAGAATCAGTCTTTAATAGCAGTTACTAGCTTCTAGCTATGGAAAGACATACTCAGCAAGCAAAAGGGTATTTTGCTCCTTTAAGATTTTAGCATATACATTCAGTTAATCAGATTATACAATATGGGTTAAAATATTTCACCCATTAATGAAAGTTAACATTAAAATTAGGCTAATGAAGTAAAAAAAGGGCTAATGTGATACTTCTTTTATCTTCCTGAATAACTGAAATTGGAGCAATTAGGATAGCCATTACACTCAAATCAACAAATTCAGAAGGACATTATTATGTCATCTTTGCACATGCTGTAGTCATGGTGCACTGTTCTCTGATAAACATATTTGCATATTGAAATACAGTGTGCTATTTTTTCTCTCGTTATAAACTGGACCTACAAAATGTAGAATGTGGAAGGCCACATGCCTGCTGTAGTCTTCATAACTCAAAGAAGATGGCAAATACAGTCAGGTGCCAGTAATGAAAATTACTACCACAGTGGTACACAGAGTTTGTAACAAAACTAGAATCACATAAACTTTGATATTTACTGGCTTAAAATGATTGATTTATCAATTTTATCCCCCCAAAATATTGTAATTTTTTAATTTAGATGCTAAGTATGGAAGAAACCTAAAAGAATATAAGGCAACTCACTGAAAATGGTAAGAGGAAGGCATAAATTTAAGATTTTGGCGGTTTACACCTAGGATTGTTTTAATCAATACTTTTTATTGATTTGTACATCCTCAGTGTGAAAAGAAGGTCTCCAGGGAAAAAATTCTGTACTAATGTCTATGTTAAAGGATTTGTTAGTTTTCTCATAGAAAGTACAAGTCAGATAATTACTGGAAAATGCAAAATATAGTAACTTTAAAGATCATAGTTCCAAAAATATTAATCCCTGCAATACGAAGTTTCTTTTCCATAAAAAGAAAATTATATAAATATCCACAATGCTGTGGTGATTTTGTATACCTACACCTGATAATTTTGAAGCTGGGACTGCGCAACTAATTTGTTCAGAGAAACATAACTCACTTTCACTAACTGACAGCAAACTAATTTGTTTTCTAGTTCTCTAATACCTTCTTTAGAGTCCCACCATATATTGACTTTGTTCCTGATCATTTAGAAGATCTAGATTGGTATGAATGGGATTTGGAATGCACACTACCAGCAATAGGGATTTCGGCATTTCTATAAATCCAAACTATGTTCATGCTGGACAAGCACGTTTTCTCATTTTTAAAATTAAAGCTACCTGGCCAAAGATGACTTATTGATGATCTTTATGAAAAACAAACTAATACAAAAAATTCTTAATGTTACAGACACACAAAAAAGCCTGAAGAAAACACAAACCAGTGCATTTGTGGATGACTGCACAGGCATTAAGTGTGTGATATATTCATCTGTTAAAAGGAGCTGAAAAAAAAGCTAGAGTGTTGAACACGATGGTGCATACCAGAGGATTCCTGTGGTCAAAACCACCACAACAGTTATTCATCTCCATCTCAATTTCTTCAAAACATATTATACATATTTGTTATGGTATGAATTTAGAAGACACAGCTTAGACAGCGGAAGTAGGGTGCATAGTGGATAGAATACCTATATTCCTTTCTCTGCTTTTCCTGAAAGTTCTGGGCATAAAGCAGAAGTGTGGTTCCTCAGTTCCTTCTCTGCCTTATCAAACCCTAAACAACTATCAGGACTCTGAAGAATTAAAAAGATCTAAAAAATACAAAAAGCCAGAGTGCACCTCACAGAAGGATAATAGGATTGATTTGTAAGACTTGTGTATATTTTACTCACTGTATCATATGTC